AATTATAAAAATGATTATAAAAGGCATACTTGATATAGTAGCACTTTGTCAAGAGATTATACGGAGTGCTCATTATATCCATAGATAAGCTTTTATGTTATAAAATATTCGGGTTTGAGTCAGGTCGGGTGCGGGTTCGGGTCGGGTCGGGTAAAATAATAAACCCACACCCGACCCGACTCGATGTCGGTTTCGGGTAAAAAATTTCGGGTCGGGTTCGGATTATTTTATTCTCGGTTCGGGTTCGGATATTTTAGTAGTCGGTCGGGTCGGTTAAGCTCGGGTTCGGGTTGAATTGCCATCCCTAGCTATTGTTGAGGCGGTGCAAAAATGGCGTCAATATTTGCTCGGCCGCGAATTTGTGATTTGGAGTGATCAACGCAGCCTAAAAGAACTTCTCCATCAAGTAGTCCAAACACCGGATCAACAATTTTATATCCGCAAACTCATGGGGTACAAATTTCGTATTGAGTATAAAATCGGGGCTTCCAATCGCGCCGCCGATGCCCTCTCCCGCCGGGACGACGACGCCGAAGCTACTAGACGCCTTGGCCGCCGAAAATTCCCAGGATTCTGAACTCCAGCAGCTGCATGCCGCGGTCACAGCTGGGTCAGCGAGGGCAGACTTCTCCGTGCACGATGGGTTACTCTATTATCGCCACCGCCTGGTCCTCAGTTCGGTATCCCCCTTGCGCCATCAGTTGCTCGCCGAATACCACAGCTCCCCAATGGCCGGCCACCAAGGAGTGGAGCGGACGTTCCACCGCCTCGCCACCACCTTCTATTGGCCAGGCATGCGCAAGGACGTACGGCAATTTGTGGCCGCTTGTTTAGCCTGCCAAACCAAAAAGTATTCGACGCGGAAGCCCGCGGGCTTGCTACAGCCCCTGCCCACGCCCGATCAGGTCTGGGAATCAGCTTCAATGGATTTCATTACCGGTCTGCCACCCTCCCGTGGGGCTTCTACTATCCTGGTTGTGGTTGACCGCCTAACGAAGTACTCCCATTTTGGCTCCTTACCGGCAGATTTTGACGCCCCTCGCGTCGCCCATCTCTCTCTCGACATCGTCGTCAAACACCATGGCTTTCCTCGAGATATTGTATCCGACCGGGACTCGATATTTATGAGCCTTTTCTGGAAAGAGCTCATGCGCCTCAGCGGCACGACATTGAAGTTCAGCACAGCCTATCATCCCCAAACCGATGGGCAGACAGAGGTAGTAAACCGCAGCTTGGAACAATACCTGCGCGCCTTTGTGCACGAACGCCCGGCGCGGTGGACCACTTTTCTCCCTTGGGCTGAACTTGCCCTTAATTGTAGCCATAATGAAAGCATCGGAATGTCCCCATATCAGCATTATATGGACGCCTGCCCCCGTCCATTTTCCCAACCATGTCCGTCCGTTCGCGTGTGGCATCAGTCGAGGAACTCCTTCGGGAACGGGCCGACCTACTCACTGATTTGAAGACACACTTGGAGAAAATGTGCCAGCGCATGGTCTCCCATGCCAATGCCCACCGTCGTGATGTCTCGTTCAACATCGGTGATCTGGTCCTCTTAAAACTCCGGCCTTACCGCCAACACTCCGTCGCCAGAGTCCTATCGTCAAAGCTGTCACGCCGCTACTATGGGCCATTTACCGTGCTGGAGAGAATTGGCCCGGTGGCTTACCGGTTGCAGCTTCCGCCTGACAGTCGCATCCACAACGTCTTTCACGTTTCGTTGTTGCGGCCGTTTGTTCAAAGTGGCACCACCTTACCCTCGGTTGCACTTCCCACAGACTTTTTTAAAGGTCGCCCAGTGTCAGTGCCGCTCCGCGCCGTTGCCGCCCGTACAGTTCTAGTGAATGGCCAACCCCAAGAACAGTGGTTGATTTGTTGGTCCGATGGTGGTCCAAAAGATAGCACATGGGAACCGGTTGCGGACATCCGCCGCCACTACCCCGATCTCGGCCTTGAGGACAAGGCCGTTGCCAACCCCGGGGGATTGATACGGGTGACGTGGACGTACCCGGCATGCAAGACGACCCAGGTGATACTGTTGTTTCGCATGTGCGACCAAAGAGGACCGTTCGACCCCCAAGACGTTATCAACACTACAAGAAAACTGTCGATCTGCCACGGACAATTGCTGTTGCAGAATTTGAAATTCCGTGGCAGATTTAGAATCTGCGACGGACCTGCAACAAAATTATTCCGTTGCAGAAAACTTGTGGCAGATTTAAAATCTGCGACGGAACTAAAAATCCGTGGCAGATCTGCAACGGACCTGCAACGGATTCGTCTATTTTTGCAACCCAAAAAATCTGCGACGGAAGTCCACACACCGTTGCAGATCTGCGACGAAAGCAGCAACGTACTACTCCGTCGCAGACCGCCTGATCGCAGCTACTAGTTTTTGCTGTTTTTTGGCAGTAGCTATTAAAATTGGGGGCAAAACACATTCAATTTTCACACATAATTCTAAGCAAGATATTAATACGAAATACATAATTCAAAACTAGATTAATGAAAACTTCACGTGCAAATGTAACATAATTCATAATATTGTAAAAACACTAAATATTAAAGTGTAGTGTCAAATGTCAAAGGTGTCAACAAAT